GTATTCTTCTGTGTTCAGACTGAATTAATTGTTTTTTGTTGACATGCCCCCAACTCAGAAAGTGATTACAACATTGTGGTCGCAATCGTGTGTGCTCATCTCGCAAATACGATATTTCCGACACAGCCTGATTGCAGTATGTGTCGTGAAACCAATGATACTGAGGGATATAATGTTGCACTACAGAATATTACATAAAAACATGAAAGTTACAGCATTAAATATGAGTTTAAGGCAAAGGAAGCACTTGATAATATTAATAATAATAATAGCTCATTTTAGAGTAGCAGCTTTCAAAGTAAAAATATTGCATCAGTATTGGCAGATACTTAACATTTTCATGTATCAGATTTCAACATATGAGGAAAAGATTGTGACTGGAAGATTACAGGAAGACAAGAACGTTATCTGTTATTGATAGCTGATATGAAGAATGGTGTTGTTACGAGCAGAGACCTGAACTAACATGATAAAAATAAGATCAAGTTGACTATAAGGGTTAAAATGTGTGAATATCTGTAGGGCAAAAATAGAAAACAAATAAAATAATTTTTGGGTTTCACTATCAGGTTCAGACTAAACCAGAATGTTTGTAAACATAACGGTTGTATATTGTTGTTGTTGGAACCTTGTTCCAAAAACAAAGTGTCTCCAAAATGATCACTTTACAGGAGAAGGAAAAATGGACTGTGTTCAGTCAGCATGCAAGTTGCTCCATTATGGTACAATTCATAATAAATTCAAACATAACCGACAAAGCAGTGACAATAATGTAGAAATCCTCTTGTGTTTGAGGCTGTAATGTCAAAAATAGCCAAGTATGTAATGGACTTTACTCACGTTTTTCTGTTTTCCAGCTTTCTAAAGCAGGTAGAGCTGCTATAGATAGTACTAAACCTACTGAGGATTCTTTGTCTTTGCTAACACTTGCAGCTGAAGCTCACAACAATTTAGTGAATCCTTTACTTTTCTGGGTGAAGATGAAGTTGCCAGTCACTATTACGTGACCAGTAAGAGCACCACAGTGTAAATTAGGACAGTATGCTGATGTGCTGATTTGCTATTTTTAGAGTTATTACTGTGTAGATAGTTTGACATAAAGCAACATAATCTATTTGTCAAGGTAACGCTAATAGTATTTATGCTAGCGGCCCCAGAACAATTTTTTTTGCTCATTTTTACGCCTGACAGGGAAAAATATCAGCTTTGTTTCATTTTACACATGATTCTCTGTAACTGTAGACATTTGTGTAAGTGTGTGCACAGAACAGTACACAAATCATCTCATATCAGCCAATAAGTTAAGCTAAAGGTAAGTAAGGTTAGCTAAATTAGACACATTAGGATACTTCAGAGACGTTATAAAGGAGGATACTTGTTGAAATATAAATAGGAAAGCTTGTAACGCTCAACATCTGCTTGTGGAAAAAGCCCTAAAACGAAAAACGCGTTTTTGTGTGTTACTAAACCAAACACTGCAAACTATTTATGAGGTTTTTGTCGGATTTTACCAGTGATAGCAAATATGTTTTTGAAACGCTAATTCAGCCTTCAGTTTTGCGTATTTTGGTCCCCATTCGAAGAGAGAGGAGCCTGGTCTAGTATGGCTGGGAAAAACTGCCTGGTGATGTTGCAAAGATGGCCGCTGAGTGTACAGACTTTGCTATAAGGATTTTTGTATACGTTCACATTAGGAGACAAGAAGTTACTAATGTCGCCTCAAGTTTGTCTCTTGTGGGTGTGTTCGAGGCTACTCTAGTTGTCATGTGAGGGTGGGTACACTGCCAAGCTTCTGAGAGAAAAAGAGAAAAAGTAAAAATGCACTAAATATATATTGTCGTTTTTGTTTAAAATATGAACAGCTGTTGTAAGTTTATAAGGTTAGACAGCAGAGGCTGGGGTCTTTAGACCCCCATATCTACGATAGGGCTGAGGATTTTGTTGTAGCTGATCCTTGCTCCTCCTCATCATAGTTCTTATTGGAAGTTGAGAAAATTTCAACTCTATGTGTCACTTCTGTGTTCTGCCACTTGTTGCCAAATCATGGCTACAAATTGTGTACTCCCATAGGAAATGACTGGTCACCTGTCACTTTGTCATCTGCTAGTATGAACAGAGTGACATAAAACACCAATAAAAAGACCAATAAATCTTAAATTGTGGTTAGTATAAACAGTTCCATTTGTCTTCTGAACATGTGGGAAAGGAACTAGAACCAAGTTCTGTTGAGTCATATTTGGGTCAGTTCTTGTTTTTGAACGTGAAGTGGGAAAAGCTTTACATTTACGTCATTTGGCACATGCTCTTATTGAAAGCGCCTTTTTTTTACACAGATTTTGTTAGAAGTCTTGCCCAAGTGATATAGCATAGGGTGCCTGCCCAGGCGGGGCACTGAACCCCAGTCTACAGCAAGTGTGGTCAAGGTGTTACTCGCTACAATATACCAGCCTTATAAAGTGAATGCTTCTTTATTAAATGACTAAATTTAATCCACACAAAGTTGTGAAGTTATTGACCTGGGAGGCTCTTTTAAAGAAGTGTTTGGTTTTTCCAATATCTTGGTTAAATTCTCGGGATTGGGACAAAATCCTGTTTGATCACTGTAGCACTGCCTGCATCCATCTGAAAGTAAGTTCTTTGCTCTTGTGATGTAATGCCGATTTGATATCAGTGCCGTGAAAGAACAATAGAAACTTCCACAGTCTGCACAGGATCTGACTGCATACTGAACAGTGGCGTATCAGTGGCGCTTTGTATTCATATCACAAAGGGCTTTATTTATGTCACAGGGGACTTAGCTTCTACTTGACCTTTTAAAAGGAGCCTGCATTAAGCAGCCATGCTGAACAGTAAGAGCAGATTGCTGCATGTTCCCCAGCAGGCTTTCTGAGCGTATGTGTGCTGGGGAGCCAGATGCTGTGGAGTGTGTACAGGGTGGTGTGAAGGATCAGGCTGTGGCCCAGCTGGGAGTGCATACGGCTGGGCAGAGCAGATCGACAGAGATAGACTGAGAGAGCTGTGTTCATACACATAGGGCCAGCACAGCATGCTGAATACCGGGGTGGGCGATATGACGGTGTGATATCATTATCGTCATAAATTACTTCACGATACACTTTCCTGAGCATGTCGTAGGTATCATTAGTATCTCCAGAACTCTAGCCAACTTACCCATGTTTGTAGCAACTGTTGCTAGGTTTAGCAAGCTTTACAGAACATTTGCTAAAATCTGATTTTGAAGGGAATCAGTCACGCAATTAAATAGCAACGATCCATTTTCCAGCACTAAATAAACATTGAGAACAAAAATTGACATTTTGCTGTGTAGCTGTAGAACAGAGGTGTTAAAACTGTTTGTCATTGGGGGCCAAAGTGCAATGTTTGTGGTGGGCTGAGGGCCAAAAAGACAAAACAGTAAAGAAAGAACGAAGGTATAAAAGTTTTTTAAAAATGTATTTTGTAACACTAAACTATAGTTACATTAACTATCACCTGATACCTGCTATCACGTTTTTATACTATGTGCTAGGACTGGGCTATGTCTAGAAATAATTTGCACAATATTTTCTTGTTAAAAAAATACAATTATCAATTATAATTCCCCCCAACCCTGCTCCCTCAGCTTATACCCTCAGTCTGCTGCAGCTTAGACACACTTTCTTTTAAAATATATACAGCTGTTATAAGTTTACAAGTGAAGACAGCAGAGGCCCCCATGTCTACGATTGGTCCAAGGATTTTATTTGATCCAATTGTTGCTTCTCCTCATCATAGTTCTTTTGAAAAAAGTTGAGAAAATTTCAACTTGACGTGTTTTGAATGTGCAGATGGGGAAAACTTTTACATTTACAACATTTGGAAGATGCTCTTACTGAGAGCACCTTACAGTTTTTTTATTGATTTTCCTTAGTTAACATACAATCAATATTTTCTGCATACCAAGAACACAAAAAGGAAAAGGACCAGAGTTGGGGCTAAAAAAAGAAAATGTATATATATAAATAAGTAAAAAAAGAAAAAAACTAGATAATATTTAAAAGTATTTAACATAAGCAGGATGTCTGTGATTACAGAGTCTTAACATTGTTAATGGCATCAGTCCAAAATCGAATTGTTGCTGCCTTGGCATTATAGAATCTGTCTGCCACTCGCTCCAGAATAAGAATGTCCAGAAAATATAAAAGCACCTTACAGTTTGATCATTTTTTACACAGGTAGGCGAGGGTAGTGTTAGGAGTCTTGCCCAAGGACTCATACTGGTATAGCATAGGGGACTGACCGAGTGGGGCATCAAACCTCAGTCTACAGCACAGGGAGCAGAGATAACACCTGCTTAACTATACTGCCTTTTAAACATCTTCATTATATTGCCCTATCACCGAGGCTTAACGTGTCCCACGTTATTTGAATAGCCCCACAGAGATTATCTGGTGAAACCTGGTTGGTTCTCAACAGTGTTAGAGTTGGTTTTGAAACCAAGGTTAAGGTTAGGTTTTGGTTTTGGGTTAAGATTGAGATTTAGGCTTAGGCAAAGTAAAGGTGAATGTAATGTGTGGTCAACAGGCCTCAGCTTGTAAAATTTAATCTATCCGTTCTGTAATTACCGATTCACAGCGACTGAAGTGAATGATAGAACGAATGATAAAACACAAACAGCATCAGAAAGATGACGGTTCATTCTGTCTTTTTTCCATTTAGTTGTCTCAGTTCTGTGCAGTGTTCATACTTTAAAGCGAACTACACAAGATGTTTTTTTAAGTGAACCAAGACCACCTGCTCAGAGTGTCTCAGTCCACTTATTTGGTGCACCAGAGTTTGGATGTCAGTGTTCTCACTTGTTCTAATGAACTGCGCTAACGGAACTATCGTATCAGGGTTCGTTTTAATCGATCAAAGTCTGAACACACACTGCAGAAATAAAGATGAATACAGGTTTTATTACTCTTAACCCCCCAAACTACAGTTAACAATGCAAAGTAACCTGTGTGTGTTTGTTTCAGCCGTCCATGAGTTTCCTGACGACTTCTTCACCAACACTGAGAGGAAGAGTGGAGCAGTACTACTGCACATCCTAGCGGTGAGAGAGAAACCTGCTTTATCTCTCTCTCTCTCTCTTTCGCTCTCTCTCTCTTTCACACACACAATCTCTTCACCACATATTTCCCTCATCTCTCCCACTCTCTCCTTTATCTCTCTCTCTCTCGCTCTCCCTCTCTCTCTCACATGCACACACACTATCTCTCCACCACTATCTCCCTCATCTCTCTTACTCTCTCGTTCTCTCCTTTCGTCTCTCTCTCTCTCTCTCTCTCTCTCTCTCTCTCTCACTCACACTCACTCACACGCCTACACACACACACACACACACACACGCACACACACACACACACACACACACACACAATCTCTCCACCTCATATCTCCCTCATCTCTCCTTTCTGTCTCTCTCTCCTTTCTCTCTCTCTCTCTCTCTCTCTCTCTCTCTCTCTATTCCTTCCTCCCCACCTTATTTCTACACCGTTGTCATATCATACCTCTATCTTTCACATCTATGTCTCTTTCACCTCTGGCTGTCTCTCCATCTTTGCCTCATTTCTCATCATTCAAACTTTACACACATGCCTCTCCAAACAGTCCACGTGGACCTTTTAGGTAGACGCCTTAAGACAGGCTTGTAATGTAGGGCTAAAGTAGATCTTCCAAATGAGTGGAAGCTCATGTCTGATGGAATGTCTGTGGTTCTCTGACCATAAGCCTGATTGTTCTGTTAGAACAAGTATTATTCACCAATATTATAAAACTAGTGCTCCAGTGCTAATCCTGTCCTAGTAACACTCCCAGCTTAACCTGATTGACTTGCTCACGTTGGCCATTTGCAGCACAATCAGAATCTGCTCCTGGTTACGTAACGTGTTGTGTGACTCTATAATGTATTGCTATGTATTGCGTTATTTAAACCTCGCTTGTTCCGTCCTTGTCGACTCTAATTCAGACGCGCTGCATCATTTCCAGTCCGATGGCTCCCCCTGTGGACAATTTCTGTTACTGCAGTGGCTGCTTCTGCTGCAACAAGAAGGCCGATCCATAATTTATTCATCAGAGCAGCTTCACAGAGAGCGGAAGTCATTTTTTATGTTGGAGGAGCGCGGAAGTTATTGATTATTAAATCTTCAGGAAAAGTGCTGCCTCCGTTAGAGCCGTACATGAGTCAATCAGCGCTAGTTAAGGAGGAGTTCATTGGCTGGTTTAAGTTTATGGTGGCTATCTTTCTCTCTTATGGCCTTTCTGGTGCTTGAGCACTGACCACTTGAGGTTTATCACCTTTTCTCTGACCAGGCCAGGCTGCTTTTGTTTCTGAGGTGATTTACAAAAGCAATTTTATGTAGCTTGGCTCCTATTTAAAAGCTCTTGTTTTTGGATAGAAAAGCAAGAGATAGGGCTGAACAGTGGAGAGCATCACACTACAGTAGTTTAAGTGATAAATATTACAGTATTTGAAAAACAAACTTAAAATAGCTACATAATTAAATGGTTAAGATGTAATCTGAGTCATTCAGAGTGGCTTGATGTGGAATGCTCTGTTCTTGTGCCATACAGCAAACATGAGTTATGTCATCTTCAGGAATTTCCACAAAACAGTAGATGATACAAAGACAGATTAATTCTCATTTTCTTTTGCCAGCTTTTTGGAGATTCGCTTAAAATTTGCAAAATATTTAAATGGAGACAGAGCATAAAGGAAGTAGGCGGTAAAAGACTTTAAAAAAAGCCCCATATCTCACAATTTTCTTGTATATAATTTATACCCCCTAAAGTCCACTTATAGTCCACTTATGACATTTGTGTACTTTTTCCTACCTCTCTGAATCCCTTAGAATTGGGATTGACCAATTAATTATTTCTATATCAAAATCTCAATTTGAAAGTGGAATTTTTAAGTCACAAAAGTTGCAATTTTAATTTTATTCTACATAACAATACATAGTTCATTTTTGTGATTACATTTTGGCCTAATATGTATTGTAATTTATTTATTATCTCCATTTGCAATGGAGAGGTGCATGAGGGGGAAAAGGAAACTTCATTTTTCAAATTTAGCACTATTTTACGATCAACATTACATATTAAAACTTGTGTAGGTTCACTGGTGGTTTTGGATACTAAATAAAATAGCTAAATTTGTGTTGTAGTCATGGCGAACCCTGGTTTCGTGTTTGATAATCAAACTATAATGAAGTTTAATAGACTTCATTATGTGGTGTCTGGTACTGTATGATGTACTGTTATCTATACACATGGACAAAAGTACATTTTATAGCTAGTAGCCATCTTGAGGCCTCATTTGTCACTTCAGGTTCTCAAATTATTTGTCACAACCAACTTAAACCTTGAAACTCCAGGCCCACAGACTCACAGACGTTAGACCTATGTTCTGTGATGTTCACTGAAGTGCTCAACGCCATCATGTCTAATCTGCGAGGCTGCAAGTGCTAATGTGAGGGCACTTAAGCTCGAGCCACCGCAGTTGTCAATGTTGACACCAAAATCTTGGACTGTGTATCATGCACATTGGGAGACATTCATTTTTCAGCTTCTCATTCGCCAGCTTCTTGTTCAAATTCTCCTGTTCCACCTTAAACGGTACCTGAGGTGCCAGAATGTAACTGCTACACCATTTAAGGTGGAACAGGAAAATTTAAACAAGAAGCTGCCGCATGAGAAGCAACTTCAGCTTTGCGACTTTTTAGTCTTCGTCAGTTTCTCGTTGCAGATTAAACGTATCAGGAAACCATCTGAGTGATTATAAATGCAGTTAAGTCCATTCGTCTCCAAATCATCGATGTTTGTCTTAAATCTTTCTCTTTGCCGTTTCGTTAGCTACTAGCTATGCAGGACTGTTGTTGTTGCTATGGTGACCAGCAGTCTGCGTGCTGACCTTCAGGGTTAAAGGGTGAATTAGCAGTTATACATTAACTGTAAGATAATTTATTGTTAAAACTGTGTTTGAACGATCAGCAGAGCTTTATTTACTGCAAAGGAGGATTATTTTATTTTTACCTACAAATCTAATTCTGCTGTGGAGCCACAACAGGGCTGTAAAAGAGCTGCGTGTTGCCGACCCCAGCCTAGACGAATGCAGAATTAGACGGGCCTCTGGCCCTGTGGATTTTATAAGTAATGCACACTTTAGTTTCTACAAGTCTGGAGAAGACCAGAGTTTTAAATCAGGCCACAGTCTTCAGTTCCCCAAGGTTACGAGGGTCCTTCTGATGATCTCTAAACATGATGAGCTGAATTATTTGAGATGATGTACTTTGCAATTATGTAATTGCTATTTATTGCACTGAAGCTACAAGGCTAACGTAGCTAACAAATAAGGAAGCTTATAGGCCACAAATGAACTTTGTACAAACTGCTAATTGTGTCCTGTTTGTTTCTCTGCTCTGTCCACTGCAGGCTCTCTACATGTTCTTGGCTCTAGCCATCGTGTGTGACGACTACTTTGTGACCTCTCTGGAGAAGATTTGTGAGGTAAAAGCTTACATCTTTTATGCAGACCCCACATCTTGATATTATACACTAGCGTCCACTTTCTGTTCTTTGCTCAGATTAAGTACAACCTGCCCTTAAATTGATTGGAATGGTTTAGCAAAAGCTAATTCTTTGTTTTGTTGCTTTGGTGTTTGTGGATCGTGGGACGTGTCCTGAACTGTTTTTTTGTGGAATGTAAACAGTTACGTGGTTTGTTTGTTGGCTGTAAATCCTGGGTTATGTGTTTCAGTGTTTACTGGTTGTTTGTTTCAGTGTTTGTGGGATGTAAATTGTGTGTGGTGGAATTGTGTTCTGCAGAAGTTGGATCTGAGTGAGGATGTAGCTGGAGCCACCTTCATGGCTGCGGGAAGCTCCGCCCCGGAGCTGTTCGCCTCTGTAATAGGTAAGGCGAGAAACACAGATATGTGCACAGGGGCCAATGCTAAGTATAAGTCTGAATTTTTTTAATTTTCAGATAGTCACAAAAAATTGAAAAACATTTTTTATATGCGAATTATCTTTCCTAAACGCTTTACACTGATGTGCCAAAACATTACACGGGTGATGTGAATAACATAGGTTATACCATAACAACAGGGCATTTCAAGGTCTGGTATATATTAGATGGTAAGCATTGTAGTTGGCATATTGGATGCGGAAGAAGATGGCAAGTATGAAGACCTAAGCGACTTTGACAGGTGCTACAATGGCTGTGTTTACATGAAAAGATTTTTACAAATCTGATTGAATACATTCTGAATACAGATTCAGACTGAGGTGTTTATATGCTCACTCTACTCAGCAGTCTGATGAAGATCTCCGTTTACATGCACATTACAAGTAATCCGATCCAAAATTATGCACATGCATAGAGAACCACTTAGTGTAGACATTACCATGACAATGAGCCTCATGTGTGCAGCAGTAAGCAGTGCTTGTGTTTTTAGTAACTTTAAAATTAAGTCAGACTCAAGAAAACGTACCTCACATGTACTTATTAAAGAAGGCCGAGAGGAAGACGTCATGTTCTGAGACGCATAAGCTGGACGCTCATCCCACCGCCGTCTTTTAAAGCTCAAGTTCAACTTCATCTCCTCTGCAGACCATGTCTGAGCATCTCTGGCTTGTGTGGTGCTCCTGGTCAGCAGTGGTGAGTACAGACAGTGGTCTGAGGAGGGACAAACCACAGACCAGTAGTTAATGAAAAATGAAAAAGTCTACGTGAGATTCATGACGTGTTCTTAAACCACAGAACTGTTCACACCTTTGTGCTCTTGAGTGTGTGTAGATTCTGTTCTTACCTATCAATAAATCCCAAATAAGATAACATTAGTGAATGTCAGAGTTGAAAACTGCATAAGTGGGTTTAAGAAGAAATTCTTCTTAAGACCAGTTGGTGAATGAGGCCCATTCTTGAGGAATGGTTCAAGGAACATGAGGAGTTTCCAAATTCCCCAGATCTCAGTTCGACTCAACTCAAGTCGAGTGTTTGTGGGATTGGCTAGAACAAGGACTCCATTGCATGATGGCCCCACCTCACAGTTTCAGCCCAGACTGCTTTTGAATGCGGCGTAATACACAGCAGCCAATCAGAATAGAGCTCATTTACAGCTGTTGGAACAAAACCTTGTGTCTTCATTTTTGTTCCTTCCTTTTGTTCCTAATCTGAGAACAACAGCTGACCTTTACAGTGTGTGAAAATACAAAAACACAAATTGTCAGAAATGATTTGAAATAAAGTTTTCTTTCATTCATTTGTATTAAAATAACATGTTTTATTTTCCTTTGGAATTACAATTTTGGAGATACAAGGTTTTGTTTTTACAGCAATGATCTTCAATCTTAAAGGCTCAGTAAGAAAAACAACCCATTTTATTCTAAAGAAAGAAGTCATTTGTAAATCCACTTTGACGTGTATTTAAATGAAAGCTTAGTATACTTTCATTCTGAAATTGATGCATGCAGCACATTCCAAAAAGTTGGGACAGGGGTGATATAAGACTAGCAACATTTGTTAAATGTTCTGAAAACATCTTAAAATGTCTAAAAGGAGCATCCAGGGAAGGCTTTATAAGCAAGAATGGGTCAAGGTTTGCCACTTTGCCAAAAACTGTTGTAGGAACTACATTCCTCAATGAGTATTTACAAGGATTTTAGGTATTTTACCCTCCATGGTGCATAATATTATCCAGTTCCAGGGAGTCTAGAAAAATCTCAGTGCGTGAAGGGCAAAGCCAGAAACCACAACTGCATGCCTTCAACCTCTCAGATGGCACTGCATTAAAACCTGGCCTGCTTCTGTGATGGAGATCATCGCATGGACTTGGTAGTAATTTGATGTTGTTGCTGCATTCACAAATGCAAGGACTGTATTGTGTAAAAGTGGAAGCCATATATGAACGCTGTCCAGAAACGCTGTGGACTCAATCAGTCCATTTCAGATGAGTGAAATGCACAGTGGAAATATATATTGTAGTCTGATGAGGCAGCCTTTCAGATTGTTTGTAGAAATAATGGATGTTGTGTTCACCATGCCAGAGAAGTAAAGGACCAGACTCTTACCAGCATAAAGTTCAAAAGCCAGTGTCTGTCATGGTACTGGGGGTCAGTTTACGGGGGAACCTGCACATTTGTGAAGGCACCATTAAAACTGAACACATTTTGGAGCAACATGTGCTGCCTTTTAGATGACATCTTTTTCAGGGATGCCCATGCTTATTTCAACATGACAACACCAAGAAACATTCTGCATGTGTTACGACAGCATGACTGCATAATCAGAGAGTGCAGGTGTGAGACTATTTTGACAACAGAGGCCCCGTACAGTTGCATGGTTGAAGACCTGTATAATAAAAGAATAGTGAAAAATTCCTCTTTCAAAACTGGATAAGTTTGTGTCTTCAGTCCCAAAATGATTAAGGAAAGGTGATGTAGCACAGTGGTAAACATGCTCCTGTCCCAATCTTTTTGGAATGTGTTGCAGGTTTGGTATGAGTGTATATTTACAAAGAAAACACAATATAGTGCTTTTGTACTGTTTTCAATTTAATACGTCAAACAGAATTTACTAATGACTGCTTTCTATTTTAGTTGCCATTTCTAACTTTTTTGAAATATAGACCTTTTAAAAATATATTGAAAAATGTAAGCAAGGGCCACCAGCATACCAGCAAACCTGTTTGAAGGAATTCTCCAGGTTTCCTGCTCTTGTGCAGATATTTGGTGTGTAGAAAGACAAGCGACACAGACACACTATATATGTATTCTTTTCAGAGCTAATATGGGTCACTGTGATTGTATTTTGTAGGTGTGTTTATCACTCATGGCGACGTGGGAGTTGGAACCATCGTCGGTTCTGCAGTCTTCAACATCCTCTGCATTATCGGAGTGTGTGGAATTTTTGCTGGACAGGTGCGTGTTTATGTAGGGGAGAGCAGAGCACAACCTAAAATAAATTGTTTTTTTGATGAATAACTTTAAAAATGTTTAAGTTGGAATAATTATGTTTTTATACAAGCAACACATACAACGCTGCTACAAATGAACACTTAAACTTTGTTTCTAGCTCCTACTGTTCATGTACAATTCCACAAAAAAGACAGGAAGCACAGTGTTACAGTTTACTCCGTGGGTGGGATCACTGTAACAGACAGAGGGTCAGTTTAACACCTGCTAGTAAAGTCTGATAAATTAGTGCAAACACAGTTAATTCACTATATTCTATTGTGTAAAAAGCAAATATATTCTCCAACCGTACTGCATTATATATTATATACCTATAAGACAGACAGCTCAACTGATAGATGCACACACTCTCCAAATTATATATGGAAGCTGACATGAGTCTGTGTGTCAAACAATGACAGATTTATTTTTGTCCAGTGAAGGACAGCAAATAAAAACACCACACATCAGTAAAATATGGAACATTGATTCTGAATAACTACAGCTTTACCAACTGTTAATGTCAATTTCATTAATATACATATTTAAAACCAAAATACTGACATCTGAAAAACACTAATAAAACAGAAGAAAATCTCTGTTTTCAGATGTTTCTCTTTTTCATCTTAAAATCTGTGTAAACATGGAACAAAAACACTAAAATTACTTCATTAGTCTTTGCTTACTAAAGGGGTCTTAGCGGTAACGCCGTGTAGGAACTAACCCCGCTGTACGGAGGCCGAACTTAAGCCCAGCTAGTGCTTGCTTTGAGCTTGCCAGCTGCCTCAAAACGGTGCTACGTTGTAGGAAACAAGATGGTGATTAAAGTAATATAAGGTTGAATTTTGTGATTCACACAAACAGCTCAGTAACCGAAAAAAGACTTGTGTTGAAAAAAATGACTTACATGTCCTTAAAACACTCTGGCACAGATCTCTTTAAAACACTCACAAATCGCTCTGAATTTCGGTGGGAGAACTTGGCTAGGAAATGTGGTAATGTGGCCAGAAGCTCACACTGCTTGACTTTCTTTAACAACTTAAAAAGTTTGTGTTAATTTGTGTCCTGTGTTAGGTTGTTCCCTCTGCTCCCCTACGCGCATACATCTTTCACTCTCTGTAACATCTCCACGTTCATTTATTTATGAATTAGCCTGTCATTTCCAGTGGAAAATGGTTCCAAATACGTTCCATCAGCCAAGTAAGAAAGACAGTTGGTGAATGTTATGCAGCCGATTGTTCTGCAGACTAGTTTAATAGTGCTTGTATTAGTGGGCTATTTGTACACTTTCAGGTTGACTGTAATAGCAGATTGACCATAATAGCAGTATAATCACTCTGTAGCATGTGTACTGTCTGCTCCTCTATTAGGAGTGAAATACTGTTATGTAACAGTTACACAAATACACACAACTGCTGTTTGGCAGTTTTGTCAGCTGAAATAATTTCTGTATGATGAACAGAGGTGGATTAGTCCAAACTTCAGACACCAATGCCACTTTATTTAGTTGATCTGGGGTCTGAAATTTACTTCTTTAGTTTTGTGCTGGTGCTAATAAGTAACAGAAGCTTACAGCCCACATCTGATCAACAAAGCAGCAGTCACACCTAATTTTTCGTCCCTGTATTATTCACAATATAAAGCAAAAACTGCACTGCTGTGTTCAGAGAGAGAAAATGTTGTGTTTGAAATTTGCCTAAAGCAGAGTAACATCTCTGACCTGGGCTGAGGACTTACAAACAACTCAAAGAGACAGGACTACATGGAGGACTACTGAAAGCACAAGATAAGGACGCGCTGCTGTGGCTGATGCAAAGAGAAAAACAGATTGTTTTGTTTACTGTGGATATTGCTGGAGGGTTTTTTGTAGAGGTTTCATTCCTTGTAGGAGGAGGTTTGGATCTGTGCCCTGATGGAAGGAGTAATGAAGGGGTTATGAAGGTTCCTTGTGTATTCAGTGGTCTCTATATGGACAACTGTTTTGGCTGTTCAGTGAGGCTAATGAGTAGATTAGCTGTTAAAAACACTGATTAAGTACAGAGGCCAATGTGTCAGTGCATCATCTACTTAAAAACAAATGCTCTGTGATGATTTGTAATGCTCATATAAGGTGCTCAGTCATTTTGACAGATTGTAATATGCTACAGGAAGGGTAGGGGGCGATATGGCTCTTATTGTTTCATTGAACCATTGAACCAAGTATCAAGGCATGATACTTTGATTAGTTGATTAATCAACTAAGTCATTTGAAAAGAGTGTATTGGTATAACGTAGTGGGTAACACTGAGTAGTTGTAATGGCATATGTGTAACGGTGCTACATAATCAGAATACAAAAAAGCTATTCTGTTACATTTACAGGCAAAAAGACTGTAATGCCATTACAGATACATACTACAAATAGGATAATTATCAGCAGGATTACATTCAAACCGCATACATGCAAACACATCAGCTTTTGTCATAATTTGCCATTTTAATAGTAAATATGTCATGAGTTGTGTTATTTTATTTGGGAAGGACTTACTTTCTACAGGGACTTCAGTGCAAACCAGTACCACAAATGAAGCACACATCACATATATTCTCTATATCATGCAGCCACGGGGTCCACAGGGTAAGTAAAGCTGTAGATTCTGAGCTGAACATGGTGTGCTTCACTGTTAGGTGGTGCTGCTGACCTGGTGGGCTGTTTTCCGTGACTCCGTCTACTACATCGTGTCTGTAGTGGCACTGATTGCAGTAAGTCCTGCATGAAATATGTTTCCACAAACCATCTTAAAAACATGAGTCTGCACAGTGAGTTCATTTCACCTTTAAATGTCGAGAGCAGTGGTCTCCAAACCTGGTCCTGGAGAGATACCTTACTGCAGAGTTCAGTTCCAAACTGTATCTAATTAGCTGACCTGCCCCTTACTTAACTCTAGTACATCTGATCCAGCCAATCAGGGACTTGGGAAGAGGTTGACTAGCTGACAGGTGTGGCAAATTGAGATTCAGATAAGGCTCTGCAAGAATGTAGATTTTCAAGACCAGGGTTGGGGACCACTGCTGTAGATGTGTTATTGTCATTTTGCTGTATTACATGTAATTAAATGATTATAGAATGACTTGCATAGTTAGTTAGTTGCATAGTAGTTTAGAGTCTGTACCTCTGACTTTCTGATGTCAAAAAATGTGGAAAAAAACAAACTTTTCACTCAATTCAAATCATATTAAAGCATCTCCTCTTCGACTTACAAACCCAAATGGGAAGCAGTGAATATAAGGGTTGATCAGATAGATGTGCAAATAGTACTTGTGTTAATACTGTTGAGTCGTTAATTTCTGTGAAGTAGTTTAAAGTATGTGTGATGTCTTCTTGACACTTTGTGCTCTTTATGCGCTCATGATTTTTTCTGCTCATTTTCAGTTCATCATTGATGAAAAGATAGTGTGGTGAGTTTTATTTGGTGTTTTTTTATTGAATTAACTAATTGATTAATTGATTTGTTTTAAAAATTGTGCTTCAGATCCTTGTTATGTTTGGTGGACTTCTGGTTCTGACAGTTTTCCTCTTTTCAGGTGGGAGAGCCTGGTGTTGGTGGTCCTGTATGCAGGATACATTCTAATAATGAAGTGAGTACAGAATTCTCTTTATTAACCAGATGGCCACCTGTAATGAGTCGCCTCTGTGCCATAGGCAGAAAAGCTGGTTACTGTGTGTATAGAGGCCACAGCTGCAAATGATCATAAATTATTATATTAAACAGTTAAATGATCACACTCATTAGGACACGTCACTGACTAGTGGTGATGATGATACATTTTTATCAGTGTATATTAATTTCATACATTTAAAATACAGATCCATGTCCTTTACAGCAAATTAATGAATGAACAAGAAAAGATGAAAAAAAAGAACAAATATAAGGCATTTAGTAGGAATTAACTAATTGTGTACATTTAATCATAAAGTAAATGTATTAACTAAAAGACTGAAATACTTTTGAACGAGCAGTAGTCTGTCTATTTTTAGACTCTTCTGTAAAAGAGGATTTTCAGTTGTCTAAGTGAGACAAGCATCATCATCTTAGCCTTTTATAGGGTAATTCATGCTCCTTCGTTGGATTTATCATTACACAGGTGGTGAAAGACAGTCTTATCAACATTTGTCTTAGATTTATACATGGGAATCAAGAATTACATCAAGATTTTTAATGACTGCAGATTTACTAGTCTGCTTTCAATTTCAATATGCAAGATTCCTACCTTTTTACTTTTATTTCTTTAATGATACTGTGCCTTTAATTATTAGTACTGTATGCACAGCTGTTTCAAAACCTTATCAAGCACTACATAAAACATACATATAATTGCACATCATCTGTATAAATGCTGAAGCTGATTCCATGCTCACTGATAATTTCACCCAAGGCCATATTATACAGCGAGAGTAAAAGTGGTCCAAGAACAGAGCCCTGAGGTACACCACAGATAATGTCATTTATAATGTCACATTAGTATGTCATGTCTTTTGGAGACATGTTCATGTAGATAAACAAGATGTTGCTTTTTTGTTGAACATGCATCAAGCCAAGTACAAGAACTGAAACATTATTTTTATTTATTCTAAGATAATTTACTACTTTCACTAATGCAGTTTAAGTACTGTGATCTGAAAATGGTATGCACTTTTTCGTGAATGTTACTTAAATGGTGGAAGTTTTTTATTTGTGCAAGTACTACGATTTCCTCTTACTTTACTCATGCATGATAAATGAGAGATTGCTCTACAGTTAGCCAAACTCAAGGAACTTAGGTTTTAGGAAATATGGATATCTAAAAAAATTGAATTTATTAAACTAAAGACAGAACCTGTAGTTCACATCAAATATCTTTTATGAATATTCAGCAATATGTTTTTAAAGCAGTATTTAAGGAGTCAGGAGCCAATTTAATACACGTTTTTGATTTCTTTCCAATTTGACATACAGTATGGCAAATCTATCTAGTAAGAGACATGATAAAGTCCTCACCGGGCATTGTACTGAGAGTTGTTTGTGGAATCAGCAGTTAATCCTTTTCAGCTGGGTGCCTGAGAGTGTTGCTAATGTCTGTGGCCAATGTGCAGCATTTCAGCCTCATGCTCTACCATGTCAGAATAATCCCGCCACATGGCCGTGTGCTGTACCCACTCTGACTTTTGAATAAGCATTTGAATAACTTGAATAATTCTCACTCCTGTTATCTCTCCCAGATTCAACTCCAGCATGCAGACCTTTTTCATGGGAAAAGGCAACAAGAATGTGGCCAATGGTAACGCGGCGAGTGGCAATGAGTTGGAGGATGGTAATGATTATCTTGGCTATGCCCCTGATGACCCCACAGTGCCTTTACTGGGTTCAGGTAAAGCTAACCAGACAGGCTGTGTCCAAGGAAAATCACCCTTGGCCAGCATATGATTCATAATTCAGAATTTTTCAGTGGCCAGCTTGGTGAGACATTATAGACAAATTATTAAAAATATTAATTTCTACCATATATTAATCTGTTTATTTGATTAGTTGACTAATTAGCTATAATCCCTTCTTCTGTTTCTCTCAATTTGCCACCATAGTCATTCAAATTTTCATCTATGCAATGAGCAGTTTGATTTATTGTGCATCAAAACAAGCCACATCACCCCCTACACTTCCTGTAGTGTATTACAGTCTGTCAGACTGACTATACAGATCATATTAACATAAGAGTGCTTTTTAAACCAAACAATAGAAGCCATATCGCTGCCTACACTTGCTGTACTGTATTACAATCTGTCAGAGTGATCATGTAGATCATATGAACATTATAGAGCGCTTTTGAAGAATGAACAGTAGAAGCTGTATCGCCCCTACACTTCCTGTGGTGTATTACAATTTGTCAGGATGACCATGTGGATCATCTAAACTTTATAGAGCACTTTTTAAATGAACAGTGGAAGTCATATCGCCCCCTACACTACCTGATCTGTATTACAATCTCAGAGTGACCATGTAGATCATATGAACATTACAGAGCATTATAGAGCGCTTTTTAAATGCACAGTAGAAGCCATATTGCCCCCTACACTTCCTGTTATTATAATCTGTCAGAATGACTGCGTGCATCATATGAACTTTATAGAACGCTTTTTTTAATTAACAGTAGAAGCCATATCACTCCCAACACTTCCTTTAGCCTACCTCAGTCTGTCAGGATGACCATGTGAATCATATAAACTTTATAGAGCATTATAGAGCACTTTTGTTATAGGAAATAATAGAGGCTACACTTCCTGTAGGGTATTACAAACTCTCAAAAAGTGTGGATCATATGAAGGTCAAAGAGCATTATAGAGCTTTTATTTAGTTGATCAGTGTTGTTGACTATCGACTTTGTTGACAAATTGTTGCAGTTAAATGAACTTACACTTCAACCACCAGAGAGTGAGTTAAGGATGACTTGCTAGTGAATTACGTGCTAAAAGAAACCCGAGTTTTAATGAGTATACAGTACCGATAGCCGTTATCCACTAAATTGAAGTAAATATTAGTTCTGTGTGTCTAAGTATCTAATTTGAATGTGTTTTGATGAACTTGTCTGTAGCAGCCTAGATCAGCAGAGAAAGGCTGCAGGGGTTGTGTGCTGAGTTCTGGCTGTGTTTGTGTGTGTTAAGCTCTTCTTGCTTCAGTCCAGTGGTGACCAGGAGGTAAACCCCCTGTGCCCTCTTCTTTCATCTCTATCCTCTCATCCTTCCCCTGTGTGAGTCCCCCACTCCAGCTCACCCTGTTCCTTTTATCATCTTCCTTTTTTTCCTCCTGAAGTCTCAGGCAGACTCTCTAGTGGATTCTGCCTTCTCAAATAAATTCCTCTTGATTCTGGTTCTACTTGCACTCTACTTGCCTGTCTGTTTAGCTGTACTAAAACCCACTCTGCTTCTGCTTTGCAAAGTTTTATGTTCTGCTGTGCAGAAACTTGATTTCTGATGCTTTGTGTTTAGTTTCAGCAGTTTAGGGACACCTAGCTTTTCACATCCCAGCTGTCATTGGGTGGAAGGCCTAGCTTTTCAGAGTACCTTGAATAAATGAGGATGTTTTCTCTTTTGGTCTACAGAAACCTATTAAAAACATATTAAACAAAAGCTATTTAGAGCTTACCATTCTTCTGCACTGACAAAAGTGCTACTTTGGGGAAAAAAGCCATAGGCCAGATATCACATGCCCTTGCTGTGATGTAAGCACTCAAACCTTTCATGTATTTGGATCACTTTTGGATCAATATGTTATTTTACAGTAGTTTGGAAAAGAAACCATTATTTAGAACCAAATCTGCTCCTCATATCAAGTTGATCAGCATGAAGCTGAGTGTATGAAGTAAAATATACACAAAGCATTAGCACACAGTTCCTTTATGCTAACAAAACACTTTGCATTTTTTGTTACTTATAAACAGTAAAATAAAGAAATATGACTTGGGAAATTTCAGTAAAATGGAAGGTGCCCCAAACTTTGATGCTTTGCTGTGGTTGTGTGTGTATAACTGTTTATGCTTTACCTCCAGTCAAGCCCAATAAGGCCTACACCCGAGGTTCTGTGGTCATGGTGGATGAGATTATCAACGCCAGCCCTCCAAATTACCGTTTTCCTGAGGCTGGCCTGCGTGTGATGGTCACCAACCACTTCGGCCCAAAAACCCGTCTGCGTATGGCCAGCCGCCTCATTATAACTGAGGTACTGTCACACGATGTGCATGATGCGTGAATGTGGACAGAAAACTAGATATGCTACATGTTTTGATTGTGAAATGCCCTTAAAATCCTGATTTGACACAGTTAAACATTAGGATCACAGATTTCCTTGATTTGTTAAAATATCTTTAAGTGCTGTTAAGCACTATTTGGACAGGATCAGGTTTACACAAGGAGGCTGGTAATGTAATTATTACCAGTGTTTCTGTGTGATTTTAGTCCTGTCTGAATCCGCCATGTCAGTCATTTTAACCGTCTGCGCGCTCCTGAATCAGTAAATATTCTGACCACTTTTACCTTCTGCTAAACGAGCTATGGAGCCCCAGATTATTAATCCTGTGCAGCTCAACATGTCAGTAAGAAACTTTTGTATTGTGTGGAAAGGAGTTTAAGTCTTCAGGCACTCAAGGAAGCATTTACAATTTATTAGTGTTCTCTGTAGCTAAAGTTAAGCTGATATGTAACATTACTGTCCTGTTTCACGTGTACAACTCAAAACGTAAACATTACAGAAAAATTTGATTTTATGCAGTAAAGTTGACTGTTGGCTGTGAATTCCCAAGCTAATAGCAATGCTAATGATACAAAGACAACAAGTCAGATGTTTAAGGTAAACGGATTAATGGCTAAATGAAATGCTTTGACATGTTTTCTGCTCTTTTATGGAGTAAAGGCAGAGCGTACTCCTGTTGAGTCACTCCCATCTCTGGTATTTATGCTGATATTTTTTATTCCATGCAAACTTGTCATAAACATTAGACGTCCTGTGGTAAACTGCCATTACCCACCTCCCCATGGAAGTCTAATTGCATCTGAACAGGGCTCTAGGAGGTGATTAGTTTTACATGATTACTACCCAAACCTCAATGATTTCTCAATGGTTTTAGTCTCGTCCAAATCTGTCATGTTTGTAATGTTTATAGGCTGCATGCTCAGTAAAGATTCCAACAGCTTTTACTTTACATAAAACAATTATTATATTTAACAATTATTCTAATAGTTACATTAATCTATAAAATAAATATGTTTGTTTATATGAATCATAGGGCGGCACAGTGGCGCAGTGGGTAGCGCTGTCGCCTCACAGCACGAATGGCCTGGGTTCAATTCCTGGCCGGGCGACCAGGGTCATTCAGTCCAAAGACATGCAGTCAGACTAACTGAACCTGCTAAATTGCTCCTAGCTGTGAATGTGTATGTCTGTCTGCCCTACGATGGACTGGCGACCTGTCCAGGGTGTATCCTGCCTTCGGCCCAATGACAGCTGGGATAGACTCCAGTGACCCAGAAGGATAAGTGGTTTACATGGTGTGTGTGTGTGTATGAATCACTTGCTATAAAATTAACTGTAGAAAATAACCTTGGGTTGTATTAATCCTGTCTGCATTGCCATGTTGGTTAATATTCCATCATGTCCTGTGAACAAGGGTTGTTTGCGGTCTTAAGTACGGAGGCACTTGAAGAAGCCCGTACTTCTATTCTCTACGGCCTGAATCCAACTTATATTTATTGTCCCACCTCAATTTTATGAATCCGAACATTCTCTGGGACTGAGACCCACTGATCTGAAACAGTTTTCTGTCTTGCTGAATCCAATTTTTGTCATAAATTTTAAATGTCTTGCTCTCTGATGTTGCGTGCAGCGTCAGAAGCTGGTTCAGGGAGCTAACGGAGTGGAGACAGCAGTGATTGACGGGAAGCCTGACATTGAGAATGGAAACGTGCCAGAGGATAAACCCAGCGAGGAGGAGGACGGAGAACTGACCTCACCATTCAGCCTCCCACGTAAGAGAGAGCGGAGAGGGAGAAACGAACTGTAAATGAGTCAACTAGTTGCATCCTGCTTGCAAGTCAGAAATTTATTTATTTATTTATTTTCTACAGAATTAAATTGTCTCTTAACTTTAATCTCACTTCCATACGTGGCAGTTTGAAGAGACTGTTTATGCTCTCTTTGACTCCCATATTGGATTTCCCAATAATAGGGCCAATGCAGAAACAAAAACCGTAACTCAGATGTATAAGTGTCCTTTAAACAGTGCTGTAGGAAACCAGCTGCAGTAACAGGCACCATTTTACTTGTCAGCCAGAACACAATACTCTGAGCTCAGAATTGGAAAAAAATTGTATTTCTTTCTTTGCACACAGAAGCAATATAACCAACATAACTTTAATTTGCTTCTGATTTCTGGCTTTATGTCATCAGTGTTAATGAGCTGGTTGATGAGTGAGTCACATTCAGAGCTGAATAACTGTACCTTTTATCTAATGCTATCTGACATGTTTGGCTACTTTCATGCTTAAAACAAACTGCGCTTGTATGATTCTAATTCTTAAGTCCAGGTAATGCCCCCACTGCTCCCTCCCCCAAACCTATCTCCAACATGCTGACACAATCACTGCTAATGCAGGATTTGACAAACGCATGCTCATAAACTCGTTAGAAATGTGTAGCTTTAATGCTGAAGAAGGTGCTGAAGAAAGTGGCTGAGGAGCAATGCGGTTATAAGTTAAACTGGGATTCTGATTGGTCAGTGTCAGAAATGGAATATATGAAGTCATATACTTAGCCAGTGTGTTTTTATATGTGTTTTGGTTGATTTATTTTTAAGATTTTAATACTGTGAACTCAAGCAGTCATTTTATATGGGGCAGTGATAAAAATGAATGGCCATAGCCCCAGTGGGCCTACCTAATCATCATAGCGGCTCCACCGGAAACAATTTTTAAACTGATGTAGAATGAGCTTCCTTTACCCAGAAACCCCTCATCCTAACCAGACGACTGGGAATAAAGAGTTGTTTACACATTACGTTTTAGAAAAACTTCTGGCTAAAAGCACCAAAAAAGTCCAGCCATAAAACAGGTGTTTATATTATTTAATCAAAGGTTCAATTTAATCTTTAACAGATTAGAGTAATTACTGTTATTTTTGCTTTACTGTGTAAATGTGATTATGTAATTACATACTTAGTTACATAGTAACATAATGAGTTACATTGACATACAGTTTACATTCTGTATCGACAGGTTTGTCTCTTCACTTCCCACTTTGTTTCATTTTTTCAAAATGACAAATATGACAAAAATGTAAAACATTGATGTAAAGGCTGAAACACAACACTGCACACACAACAAAAACTTCAGCAGATTCAGATCACAAAATCTGTTTATCTACTTACTAACACAAATGTGGTTTGAATTGAAGATTAATAATCTGTATTTTCCTCACAATTTCTCTGCTTGTTTCAATGAGATAAAAGTGAGAAATAATTAATCTAAAACAGCACCATTATTTTGTTATTGTCAGGGATAATGATGAGTTCTCATGGTTGAAGCACTGGTTCACCCAAAAAGCTAAGCAGTAATGGAGGAGAATGGCTGATCTGGTGGTTTGTGTTGTGTTGTAGGAGGGTGTATGAACAAGACTAAGTGGCTGATATCATGGCCATTGCTGCTGCTGCTGTACTTCACCATTCCCAACTGTGCGAAGCCTCGCTGGGAGAAATACTTCATGCTCTCCTTCCTTCTTTCCACCGTCTGGATCGCCATCTTCTCCTACTTCATGGTCTGGATGGTAAGAGTCTCTCTGACTCAGATGGCTATGTTGGCATGATTTCCGAACAATAATAATAATAATTATCATAATAATCATAATAATAATAATAAAATGTCTGTCTATCTTCTCCATTGTTTGTTTTGTTGACTTCCTACTCTACATGTTGGTTTAGGTGACTATAATCGGATACACTCTCGGAATTCCGGATGTTATAATGGGAATCACATTCCTGGCAGCAGGAACCAGCGTCCCTGACTGCATCGCCAGCCTGATCGTAGCTCGACAAGGTTTATGTCTCTTGAATCTCAGTTCAAATTGAAAAATCACATTTATGTTTGTTTACGTTCGTTTTTGATCTGCAAACGAAACGGATGTATTTAAAATTCTAAGTACATTACATGTTCAAAAGTTTGTGGACACCTGATTCTCCAGTATTTCTTCAGAAATTAAGGGTATTAATAGTGAGTTTGTCCCTCTTTGCTGCAGTAACAGCCTCTACTCTTCTGAAATGGCTTTACACTAGATATTAAAACATTGCTGTGAGAGTTTGATTGCATTCAAGTAGAAAAGCATTAGTGAGGTCAGGTACTGATGTTGGTTGATTAGGCCTGAACACTTCAACTCATCCCAGCAGCACTGGAGACATTAGGCTCATGTGGGGCTGCTCCCGAATGTCCCATTCTGTTGGTCAGTGCTTTTCTATGGAGATTATACAAACTGTGTGTGAATGCCTTTGTTAGCAAAGGGTGACCCTAAAATAATTGAAATTACTAATTAGAAGGAGATACTATTCTGGATACTTTTTGGACATACAGTGTATTCCTAAAAATGTGTGTGTGTGTGGGAGAAGGTAAAAAAGTAGTAAAAGGACAAATCCAGGCCTGTGGAAGACTATTGTAAAAAATGTACTGTTGTCCATTTTTAAATGGACGAAAAGTTTAAAAGCTATCTATAAAACGCTTCCAGTACTTAGTAGCTACATTAGCCTTGTAGCTCCAGCACAAAACTACAGAAGCAAACGTTATGGCTGATTGACTGCATTTGAAGTAAGGAGGAAAACTGGTAAATTTGATGGCTGAATTGTGAGCTGCATATGCTGTTATTGATGATGCATCTTTGTGCTCCAGGGCTTGGGGACATGGCAGTGTCTAACACCATTGGCAGTAATGTGTTTGACATCTTGGTGGGGCTGGGGGTTCCCTGGGCTCTGCAGACGATGGCCATCAACTATGGATCAGTGGTAAGGGTGTCCAGCCCAGGTCTACCAAGGGCAACTTTAGAACCCATTACTAATTTAAAGACTCATAACTGTGTTTAGACTGTTAGAAATAAAGGTTCTGTGCAGGGACATTTTTTGTTCATCAAGGCACAAACAATGTAAATGTGCCCTCAAAGGTACAACAGTGGTTTTAAGGTCCAGTTGTGCACCTTAAATAAGTTTTTCCAAGGTAAAAGGTACGTGTTTGTACCTTTTCATGATCTATTGTTTTAAAACAGAACAATAAAATAAACAGCCTGGAGACGAGACGGGGTGTTTGGAGTCAATACAACTTAGAAAATATAATTTCAATGGATTGTGGTACAATTATGTTCCCTGACTAAAGGTACTGAAAATGTACCCTTGAGGGAAGCACCCCAGTGACTAGAGGGGTACTGCCCCAGTGACAGTTTCATATCTTTTCTTCTGGGAGTGTATGTGTTATGCTATTTGGCCTAAAAAGTCAATCAGAATCTGTCATTAGCCTTGTTAGCTATGTTTTCACAAACAAGGACTTCATTCTGGCTACTGCTCAAATATACACAATATAAAATGTGCAGTACTGTTAAAGTTCTGGCATGAATATGCTACTGTGTATATGATATGTGTATAATAATGTGTAGGTAATGAATAGCACTGTCTGTTAATAATCTCAGAGCTATTCAGATGCTTTTCTGGCTTCTCCTAACTGGGGCTTTAATGCAGAGTGGATTAAGTGCTGTTGGGTGTTAATAACGTCTTCTTCTCTCCACTCAGGTGATGATAAACAGCCGAGGGCTGGTGTACTCTGTGGTGCTGCTGCTGGGCTCTGTGGCTCTCACTGTGAGTGCGCTGCTCAAATAGCTAATGCACCTTGCCAGCTTGATTTACTGATTGAGCTGAAAATCTTTTGTTTCCCCAATTCTAAAGAACTTGCAGTTTTCTTGTCCAGAAAGAACTCCTTTAAGATCCCTTTAGGGGAACAAGAGGTTGGTTGTCATACAGGTCGTTCCCATTTAAAGTGGGAATTCAGGTGGATACATTTTTAAAGAATCAATTTCTTTCATCCCAAAACTAAATAATCTTAATATGTCCATCACATCTCCTATTATCATTTATGCAAAAAAGAAAGATTAATTCCAAACATATTTTACAGTGTGACACCAGTGACGTTCAAGTTAAAACTGAGAATTTTGTAAATTAGCTGACTCATTGGTGGTCAGGTGACCTTGTGCAACTATTAAAATCAGCAATAAAAATGATATGTGACATTATTTAGACAAAATTTTTAATTACCCAGCTATTAAAGCACATACTACCAGTGACTCATAGAAGTCATGTGCTGCCTGATAAACAAAATTATTTATAAATTAATGAAATATAATAAGCAAGTGTGGACTCAGCTTCTCATGCCTTCCTCTCTGATGAGCCTCGACCCAAAGAAGCAGTTTAATAGAGCTGAAAATATTGTGTTAAAATGTAATATAAGAGTCCTGACAACACCAGTGACCAAAATGTCTGTTACAAATGAATTTTTAAAATAAAATACATATTTTGTAAATGTAGTATAACGTTAATGATATAAAAAGTGAACATGACTCTGTTTTATACAATTTCTTAAGTTAAACCTCTTAAAAATATTGTTTTATATTAAAAATGGTTTCTAAAATGTTGAAAATTGGTTTTGTGACGAGCTCTTTTACAGATGCAGAGTGACTATGAAACAGGATAAAAAAGAAAAATCAGAGAATCATAAGGGAAAAGTATTATTTAATCTTAGGTCAACTTAGGTCACAAATGGAGAATGTTTCACTTTGGCTTTGGATGTCATGCATAAATTGAGCAGAGCAGCTATTGTGTACTTATTCCATTAGTGTGATGAGGTTTTGAATGCTGGAGGGTTTGGTTGTCACAATCATTATTCACAAGTTGAATGTGTTGTGAAATGATTAAGTTTGTCTCATTAAAGAGCAAGAACGTTTAGAGAACATTCAAATGAGCGGAAGCTGAAGTCTGATTTATTGATTCATTAGATTTATTCTTTTATATTCTTTAAAAATACATTTTTAATGAGTCTGCTTCAAGGTGCATTCACATCCCTCACATTAATAACATCAGAATCTAAACCTTTAGTTTATGACAAGCAGAAAACTTGACCTCATTAAAATGAATGGAAGAATATGACCTCTAATCTTAAAGTTTAACATTTCAGTATCAGTATTTCTACACACCTCCTGCAGGTGTGCCAGATAATTGCACTGCGACAACCAACCTCATGTCCCTCTGCTCTTGTCAAGTTCACCAAATTTCTGCACTGGATAACTACTGGTACTGGTCATGTATTTATGTCCTTTCTTATTGGACAGGCTTTGCTTTTGAATTCAATTTTTTAACTGAGTGAGAAATCCTGCTTTCCTAACCCAGATCTGAAGACTGTATATGTATGTATGTATATATACTCATATGTCTCCATGTTTGTATAAAGGCTTTGTTTAAATTAGGGATGTGTATTCCAACTAATTTTGATATTCGAGTGTCCGTACGGGTTAATGAGCAGATAATCCATTAACTGAGGAGAAGGACAAACAACCAAACAAACTGACTTTGGACAACAGAAGGCTAAGAGAGGATGCCTCAGATGAGCTAAAGCTACAGCTAAACACTAGATGCTGATGAGAACTTCTTATCTTCTTACAAGTGGTCTCCTCAGCAATAATAATAACAATAATAATAGTAAAGTTTTTTATATAGCACCTTTCATACATTTATAAGGCAGCAGTAAGTGCTTTCCAGTGTGAACTAAAAACTAAACCAAGCTAAACAGAGTAAGAAAAGAAAGTAGTAGTCTAATAAAATAAGCTCACTATAGGATGCAACAAAAAAGCAGTGGCAAAGTAACAGTAAGAATTTAAAACAAAAAAAGGATTTAAGTACTACCATTAAATGAAAATGAAACTAATATAAAAGTGATATTTTTGTGAAAGATAAATGCTCAAGTGGAACAAAATGAACTGTTTTTACATTCAGTGATTATAGGAGCCTGATGAGTATTCATTGGTAGTGTGTTCCAGATCTTTAGTGCATGAAAAAGGCTGCTTTGTCACTTTTTTTTACATTTTATATGTGTAATATGGAGAAACAGCACTGGGCAATTTTATGGCACAATTTAGAACAGAGTTTATCAGGTATTGAGAGATGTGTGAAGGTCTTATACTTTTGTACAAGTTTGTTTAATAGTTTGTTTGTTGTGCTAACATTTATTAGAGAAATGTATTTTCACTGTTTCTGGGCCTACCTAACATCTGCAAGACCACTGTTCTACCACTGTAGTGTCAAAAACCACCATTACCTCAAGGTTGACTTTCCTTCAGCTGGGGCAAACGGAGCTGCCCTTGTCTTGCAGTAACCAACAGCAGATTACATTTAAACTCTATTGGATTCAATACAAAAATGTATCCACCTGAATTCCCTACCTAACATCTGCTAGAGTGGTTAGCTCCTCAAATCACGTCCTTAACAATGCATTCTTGGCACCAGATTCACACTGAGGCTCGTTTCAGAGTAGCAAAGTGTCAGAACAAAATCCTCTCATGTAATTTAACAGAAAAAGGAAAAACATTCTTAACTTTCAGTGTAAGTTCATGTAAATGGCCTCTGGCATTTTGAAAAAAAATGTATGCATATATATTAAAAACAAAAAAACAAAAATGGAAATATGAGGTTTTGTTTCCAACAGCAACATTGTTGGTCTGTATCTTCTCTCCATCCTTCTGTGATGAAACATAATTTCATTCAAATATAATTATATACTGGCATCTTGAACGGTTGACAGAGTACTCGAGTACCCCTTCATGTCCCTAACTCAAAGTTCCTTTAGTTCACAATATGAATGCCTCTTAACCCTCGAGAGATAATATTGTTAGCAAGCTAAATGTCTTTCTTGATGTGGCTAACACTGTTGTTTGTGCAGACCCTGGGCATCCACATCAATAAGTGGAAGCTGGACTTCAAACTGGGTGTGTACGTGCTGATCCTGTACGCAGTCTTCCTCTGCTTCTCCATCATGATCGAGTACAACGTCTTCACCTTCGTCAACCTTCCCATGTGTCAGGAGGACCATTAGAAGCTCTCAGACCTCCATGCATAAGGCATCTCCAGGTGTTAATAACATCCAAATCTAGATCCAGAATACATCACCACAACATACCCTCATCCCTTCTGAACTTACCCTTAAAGGAGCAGTGCAATCAAACATGGCCAATAGCAACTGGATGAAAACTCATAGCCACCACTTAGCATTAACCCTGTTAACTTTCTGCTCATTTTTGGCTATTCAGTCACTGTTAGCAACATTAGCTCACTGAACTATTCCAATAATAAGCAAGACCACTATTCTACCACTGTAGTGTCAAAACCACCATTACCTCAAAGTTGACTTTCCTTCAGCTGGGGCAAACGGAGCTGCCCTTGTCTTGCAGTAACCAACAGCAGATTACATTTAAACTCTATTGGATTCAATAGAGTCTTCACCAAGTTCCCTCTGTTTGTTTGGAATCTCCAGAGCGAAAGGCTTCAGTGATCTCCTGGAAGTGACCAATTTTTCTGTCCTATTTTAAGAACAGGTCCCTACTAATCTCAACAGTTTAAATCCACCCCCAAAACTACCACAATAATCCCTAATCGACAACCTACATCTACAACCTGCACTTCCTGATCCATGAAGAGGATCTTCTTGTCGGCAGCTCTTCTTTTCCATCCAAAAAAGAAAAAAAGAATAAAAGACATCCATGTCCCAGAGTGGATCACTCGTCTGCCAAATATGGACCATATCCCATCCTACCTGAATTTGAAGAGATACCTACTTTTTTTTTGTACATTGCTTCTTTATTCTTTTGTCAGTATATTTATTCATTTATTTATATTTTATAAACATTTTTCTCTCTTTTTGTCTCTTTTTGTAGGAGACCATGCCAGATGTGCATGCTTTCCTTTTTTTGTGGCACTACATTATGTAAATGTTGTTTGTTTTGTTGTTCAAAGGTGTGCAAATAGAGTGAAAACAGATGTTTGGCCATTGCACTTTCAGGTTGTGTCCTTTGTGTCATACCTCTGGGTGAAATTGCTCTTTTTTAAGGGATGTTCTCTGGCCCTTTGAAGTGGACCGCTGTGTAAATGCATTCTCAGTTCGGAAATGGGACAGTGAGAAATGGGTCATCTCTGTGCACAGCACAAGCAACGTTTCTGTTTGCAGTACGAAGAATTTCTGGGATTTCTGGTGAGGCCTGTGTGAACACACATGGCCATTACATGGTGTTAGAACACATGTATTTATTTTTTTGTGCAGGAACTGGAGAAAGGGTTTGACCCTCACTTTGTCCGTCAGCAGATGGAGGGTCGCGATCACAGCCGTTCTGTATCAGGGAATATTATGGGTTTATAACACCCATCAGTGGCAATGATGGTGTTCTATTGACAATTTAACATGTAGATACATGCACTTTAAAACAAAGCAACCAAGCAAGCAGTCCTCCATCACTGAACAAGAATCAGTGCTTCCTTCTGCTAGGTATGTGTGCGTGTGTGGGTGAGATTAGAGGATGTCCGTGTATCACCGTAACGACTTTGTGAGCACAAGCCCTCGAGAGTGTATTGTCCACAGTGCATCATGGGACGTTTGCTGAGACCATGGCCCAATCACAACCTGGCAGCTATGAGCAAAAACTGCAGTCGAGACAGGGACAACAGGGACTCGGTGGCTTGAAAGGAAAAGCGTCATCATTGAAAAAAATGTGTGTGCTTTTGTGTCAGAAAAGCTGAGAGTTGATGCTAATATATGCAATTTCAATATGAGCATCACTCTTGGGTCCTTATTTCATATCACTGAAGGACAAACATGAACCTCTTCTGCTAGGAGGGTTGTCTGAGTAACTCAAAGTAATTAGGAATTAGCAATACTGGTTTTGGAAGGGGGAGAGGTCTTTTACAAAGCAGGATCTTCTCAGTTAGCTGGACAGCTTAAGTCTAATGTGAGGACTTCCTATTGGGCAGGCTGGATTTAGGCTATATGGCTAAGTGAGAAACTAACTAGAAAGGCTTAAATTTGGGCTGTCTGGCTAGCCAACTGAAGAATCTTGCTAGATAGGCTTGGATTTGGGCTAACTGAAAAACTAACCAGACAGACCTCAATTTGGGCTATCTGGCTACCTTAGAAACAAATTGGTCTGGCATGAATTTGGGCAATCTGGCTAACTAAGAGATCTAGCTAGCTGGCAAATTAACCAGACAGGCTTGAATTTAGACAAACTCTAGACTTTGAATTGAGAAACTAACTGTAAGGGCTTAAATCTGGGCTATCTAGCAAGCTAACTGACTTGAAATGAACTGGCTTGAATTAGGGCTATCCTGCTAACTGAGAGATTTAGCTAACTAAGAATCTTATTGGATTAGCTTGAGGGATTTGGGATATCTGGCTAATTGAGAGATCGAGCTACCTGACAAACTAACCGTTCAGACTTCTGTTTGGACTGGACTTCCTTGAATTTTGGCTCTCTAAGAAATCTAGCTAGCTATTTGACAAACTAACTGAACAGACATCAGTTTTGGCTATATGGCTATCTGAGGGATCTAGCTAACTGAAGAATCTTGCTGGATAGGCTTAAATGTCGGCTATCTGAGAAACTAACCAGGCAGACTTCAGTTTGGGCTATTTAGCTAACCAAGAGATTTAGCTAACTGAGAATCTTATTGGATGAGCCTGACTGGGATGTCTGACCTTAGTTTGAACTGGACTGTCTTGAATTTGGACTGTCTAGCTTCCCCGAGAGATCTAGCTAACTGACAAACTAATCGAACAGACTTAAATTTTGACTGGCTTGAATTTAGCTAACTGAAAAATCTTGCTGGATAGGCTCAATTTTGGGCTAACTGAGATTTAGCTAACTGTAAAATTAATCAGACAGGCTTGAATTCAGGCTAACCGACTAACTAAAAACGTTACTGGACAGGCTTGAATTTTGGCTGACCGATAAACCCTGCTCTGTGAAATATCCCCTGCCCCAGCAGTGAGAGACTGGACAGAATGCTCTGAATGGGGACACTATGCAGGCCGTCTTCCCCAGGGCATTATTTTCCACCTTTCTTAAGTGAGTGTTTGAGAAGACTGGGGCCTGTGCGTACCACCTCCTGCTCCTCTGTGGAGGAAGAAACTCCGCAGGCTGTGACGCGGGCAATTTCGAGACTTTATTTGAAGCTGCTACTGTGACGGGGAGGAAGTGATCACACATTGGACGGCCTGCCCATAAGTCCTGCGCACCATTGAAATGTGTCCTAATCTCTCCCTTTCCACAGACTCTTGGTTCCTCTTGCCTCGGCGCTCAGCTCCACAGTGTCTGTTTTATGTTTGAATGGCATCAAATACTGGACTTGATTTCATGAAGAGAAAAACTCTTCTTTAGTGCCATTTTCAAAACTTTACTGACATTGTTAAAGCTGAATTCTCAGCTATCGATTTTTTTCACTTTTTGTTGTAAGAAGAGCTTACATGTACATACTTTTGTTTGCCATTTAGCAAATTTTTCAATAGCTGAGGATTGTCTCCGTTTATTTTTGGTTTTTGGTGTTTATGGGCGGCGTCTGTGCTGTGGCCCCCTTTCCCCGCCCCTCCACCCCCCCTTCTGAGAGGAACAGCATTGTTGTGGTCTTGTACTGCGTTTCATCCAAGACACATACATGCCAATGTACTATCTCACTGGATCTTTATCGCATATTTGTTAATAATCACATTTCAAAAGGTAGAATTTCAGATGGTGTATATGTTGTAACTGTATTTACAGATTGTATGAATATGAGTACAAATTAAGCGCACATAAAACAGATTTAATATGACTATGAAACACGGTGGGAGCATCTTTAGTACATTGTGAACGAAAGCGACCCTATGCACTGTGAGTTCAATCTGATGTGGGATTTATGTCTATAATAAACACGGTTAAAGAGGTATATGTATATATATTTAATGTAAAGTTAGGTACTATGAACCATAACTGATGACATCTGTATAACTTATTTGAATGTATTGTCTTGCTATAATGGACATATCCAACCAATGCATTTTACTGTAAAGCAATAACATACAAAAAAAATCAAAAGAATTCCTGTACATTTGTCATATAAGTCCTTAGAAATGGGACGTTAGTCACAAATTAAATGTTGCCATTTATACCTGTTTCATAGTTTTTGTGGAATGTTTTAAATGTGCGCACCTGTCTCGATTATGTGTCCGGCCACCAAATGGACAGCCTGTTTTTGGCTACAGTGTGTGTTGATGGGTCCATGGAGTGGAGAACATTTCATTTTCTCGATAAAGGGCTTGAAAATGTATGGTCCAGTGTTTGGGCACCCCTGGTCAAATGATATGTTATGTTGATTGTCTAAGTGAAAATAAGTTAACACATTCTCTATACAGCACACATTTAACATATTGGGAAAGAAAATAGATAAAATGTTGCCTATGCAAACGTGATGGCATATTCTCTCTCTCTCTCTCTCTCTCTCTCTCTCTCTCTCTCTCTCTCCCTATATATATATATATATATATATATATATATATATATATAATTTTGACTCGGGATGTTAAAACTTCTGCATAAGACTGTATATATCATGTCCAAATAACGTTTGATATGACCTACCAGAAAGTTACCCTAACTCCTCCATCACACACTGAATACAGTAAATGTATTTAATTATTTTCTTTTAGCAAACTACAGTGTACTGTTAAAAACAAAATGTTTAAACATTAATTTTGAAACTTATTTCTTTTTTCTATAACGCCTTTTTGGACCTCAGTCCCCAAGATGAAAGTTTGGGCACCCCTTGAATGCAATTTCTGGCTTGTTTATTTATAATTTTCCAAGCTAATTTTGTCTTTTATCCGTTTGTATCTATCTAAATAGTTGTAACAGCCAGCTATAATGACCAGGTTTACTAATTGAAACTTAAATTTTCAACATATTCAACCGCTTATCCTTCTGGGCCACAGGGGGAAGCTGGAGCCTATCCCAGTGGTCAATGGACAGAAGGCAGGAAAAACCCTGGACACCGCCCGCCAGTCTGAAACTTAAAATGATCCTGGTAATTAATTGAATTGAATTACATAAAGTAAGAGTACTGAAACATTACTGGAACAAACATTAGTGTCTCTTTCCTTTATGTAGGTTATCATTTAGTATTTACTGGTTAGTATTTTGTTGCATATCTCTTGTTTTGGAAGACAGTTTTGTCTTCTGTGTAAATAACTTTCAGAATGTTGAAATGTTGAGTCAGTTATGTTGGATAGCAGCTTTTCAGTAGCAGCACTGGTGACGTGCACATTTGTATTGCTGTCCAAGCAAGTAAAACGGGGGTTTGGTAAAAGTTTTTTAGTTTGGACCCAAAGGTGGCCTCCAATGTAGCTGAAATGATGCCCTTTTGCTTATGATAAAGCACAATTTCCATAATACAAGTTAAAGTAATACAAGTTAACTAATACAAGTTAAGTTAAATAATTAAAAAAAAATAAATAAATAATGATAGAGGTGTCCCAAGACTATGTTTGAGCACTGTGGGAATGCTCTGTAGATTCTGAGGAACAGTGTTGATGGCAATGGGTGGGGAAGGAATTCTTTAAGATTAATTTCTTTATTAAATCCAGCACACAGTGTATAAACTCGTATGGCAGTGATTGCTTGAATCGACTCTTCCCTGTCAATATCCCACAGTTTGCTGTCACCCAATTGTGCTGGCTTTGATTAAGTTTTGCTTTGACAAAACAAAGAGAGATGGAACTGATAAAAAGAATTCAGAACATTTCAGTTAGATTTCTACACTAAATGCTGCCTTATGCTGATCTCCATTTAATAATTAATAGCATGTGGGTGAATGTGAGTTTTGACCAGCAGGTGGCATCCTAAGCTCACTATTTGATAAGACAAGTGGCTACTGCTGGCAATAGCACACAAAAGGTTAAGCTCCTTTTTTTCATCACAGCTGGACCTGGTTTTATGTAGATGTGGGAGTTAGTGTCAGTGAAGAGCGAGTGAATTGGAGTTGTCATGTTGTAAGTGTGCCTGTGCTGTGATTGTGCTGTTGATCTCTAAACACCTTTTCTTGGTTATTTATTGTGCAGGAGCCTTTAGTCCTTTTCTTCGAATGGGAGCTGCCTGCTAAACATTAACTCTTCAAAGAGTTGAGTATTTTTGAACATGAAATTCTAAAAGTCTCACATGGCTCTAAAATGTTGACTGTTGTAAAAAATCGTAAAAAATTACTTAATGTAATTGTTGCGTCACTTGTGAAACCCTAGCTTATGGAGCTTTCTAAAGACTGGCTTAATTGAACTGACCCCCCTCCAGCCTCCACCCACAAATGCATTCTTTCACTGTCGTGAGGCTGGACAAGCTTTTATGACCTCGCCCACACATATACTAATATTTTTTAAAACAAAGTTTTTTTCCCGTCCTTTGTCCACGCCAGCAGCGTTTTTGAAAATCTCTCTGTCTACTTGAAATTGCCAACATCTCTCAAAAACACTCATGTGAGCATTCCAGCCCAGTACAAGGCAATAATATATCATAATTTCACGCAGATTCCAAAGATTTCCAGGAAATAAAAGCTAAAAGCAGTAAAAGATGGCCTTTTGGAAGTAGCTCAGGCAGTACACTACATTTAAAATATGGAGTTACGATTTTTTTCAAAATAGACTTTGCTTGATGATCATCAGGTCACATTTAGAATCACTGATACACTGTATAGCCAGAAGCATGTGGACAAACGTCCATGGTTTTGGAATGGGATATTCAAAAAGCTCATAGTGTGTATATTTTCACTATTTCCAATCGAGACGACCAGTCTTATTTGAGAGAGCTGAGTGCAGTACTTTCTCCGCATTATGGTTTAATGAAAAAGTAAAGTCAATTTCAGTTTCATCAAGCCGAAATACTTCCCAAATCGCGGAGCACATAGAAACAACCCTGTCGTCAGTCATATTATAGACAGAGTTGTGCGTGCCTAAATGAAAACAGCTGCAGGCATATGCAAGTTAATAGAATGATGTCAGCTTTTTCAAAAAGCTGTGATTTGCCCATTCACACATTACAAATCTCCACACTGGAGAGCCTTAGTTTTCAGTGACCATAAATGGCTTTTTTGGTGTGGACAGGAGGCCAAAGCACAGACAAAAAAGGCTATGTTTTATATATACTCAGATATATGTGGACGGGACGCAGGGCCGGAGTGGGACTTCAAACCAGCCCATCCCAACACTTTTAATATGACGGTGGCTCACTAGTGATAAGACAAAAAAGCTTCTTTCTTAACGTAAAGTGATCATGACAGTCAATATGCTATCTAAGTAAGTTAAGGTCAGCATTTCTCACTGCTTACCTGCTCGGATAAGTCCTCATCCTCTTTAAGTAGTTGTTCATTCTTATCTTCTCTGTGCCACTTTCTTTTTGTTACAGTTCTTGCCAGTGCTGTCCATCTTCACAGGACACAGGATTCACATTTGAAAACATTGGAAATGCCAAAAAAAAGTAACTGAGTGTTGTCAGCTGGTACCAAATTCAGTTGTGCTAAATTTGATATGCTAATCTCTTAAGCCTGATGTTAGCTTCTTATCCTTTCCACCTCAAGTAGCGCAGCAGTTAGGCTAACACCCATAATGGTGTCTGAATGTTACATCATTTAAGGTGGAGTGGGAAATAAGAATCAGAAGCTAACTTCAGCTTCATCTATTCTCTGTCCACTGCACAAAACTCACAGTTCGCAAACCAGGGCTGTATCACTTGAGGTGGGTGCTGCTGGTTTAACCCTTAAATTACTACAAATATACACTTGGATGTAACATTGAGTGCTTTTACATGCACTTAATAGTCCGATAACTGCAGAAAATCAGATTTTGTCAGTAATCCGATTAGCACATTTACATGCACTTGATTAATCAGATAATGTGAAACTCTAGGTCTACATGGTTCAGGCAGTAATCGTATTTTCATGATCAGTAATCAGATTTCTCAGTGCATGTGAACTCTTACTCAGAATTCTTTCGGATTCCTCAGCCTGCACATGTGCGAAAACCAGCACCGGAAATAAGCAAGCAGCATTGCTGCAAGACGCAGCAAAACACTTTTGGAGTGATGCTGAACTACGTACTTGACGAAATGAAGGATTTTAATATTTTTCATCTTATAGATGATGTATGTTCATATTTTCAGGTAAAGTGGCTCAATGTTTTTAAAAAAGGCTGCAGCATGAAGTTTAAGTTTTACATTACATTTATGTCACGTCTTCTTCTGTGAGTTTATTGGCTTTTTGCAAATGGCAGTAATCGTAATTTTTTCTTTTCAGATTATCTGATTACTCAAGTGCATGAAAACCTGTTGATCAGATTACTGACAAAATCTGATTTTCGGCAGTTATTGGATTATTAAGTGCAAGTTAACACACTGAGAAATCTGAAAGAAATCAGAGTAAGGGTATACGTGTGCTGAGAAATCTGATTGCTGAGCTAAAATCCAGCGCTTTTTATTAGATTTTTTAATCAGATTTCTAGACTTTACTCCGATCTAAGAAATCAGAGTGTGCTATTTACATGACCATTTGAATAATCAGATAACTGCAGAAATCAGATTATGATCGGATTATTAAATGCATGTAAATGCACTCAGTTTACCTGAGAGTTCTTGTGCTTATGTGTGTGAGTTTATTGATCAGCTCACAGTAACCAGCCTAAAATGCTACCAGCTCACCAGGAATTCTCATGACTTTCCTGATTACATTGACAGGGCCTCAGAACATTCCTATTCAATCTAACACTCAACATGAATACCTTTATCAAAATATACAAAGATATTTAGACTGTTAAAACACGCAAATGACATTTGTTTTGTACGTGTATGAAAAGTAGATCTGGTGTAGTCTTTACATACTTTCTAGCTGGTTGCCCTGCTATCTGTCTAAATCAGTTTGAGCTAGTTCAGAATGCAGCAACCTGTTTACACTCCACTGACTACAAGGGCTTGAATGCCATTTAAAGCTGTTAGTGGCCAAGCTCGGCATATATTACTGATCTGATGAAGCACTCTAGTCCAGACCTCTTCACTCAGCTGAGGATCTCTTACATCGCAGTTGGTAAAGGATCATTTTCTTGTAGAGTTCCTAAAATCTGGAATAGCATTCCAG